TGTCATTGGCCTTCTGCTTATATACTCCCTCCTTAGGTAGTGTAGTCCTTCCTTTTCGCCCAGATTCGAGCCTATCGGAAATCTTCCATTTATCTTGATCTTTCCATTTTTCTTCGGAAATATTCTACTTATCTTCAAACTTGACATTTATCTTCTTTCTGCGAGTAAATAGTCAAACCGTCATTGTATCTTTGGGCTGGACTTCGTCTAAAACCGTGGGTAGGTTTTTATCGCGTTTTAGGACTTTCCGAGCCGTTTTGCGATAAAAACCGTTTTACGATTTAGATGAGATCATTTCCTGATACGATGCCATTTTTTTAAGACTTCTCGAGTTAACCGTATAGTATGACAATGTACGATGTTCCGTCTAATCATTGTCGTTTCATACGATCTTTCTGAATTCTTACGTGAAAAGAAGACTTTTACGATTTTTATCCTAAAACTCGAATGGTAAGACGGATCGAGATGAAACGAGAGACGTTTCGACCATGGTTCAGAGCATGATCGAATCGAAGGACGTATGCCTTGCGTTGAGGATGCGGGGGAGCGAGGCTCGGGACGGTCAGCTCGATGTACGGCGAGCCGAACCGTGTTGGTTCATCTCGCTGTACGACGAGCTGGTCTGGCCAAACCAGCTCGCCTTACGGCTTTCGCACATCGAAGTGGTTCGGTTGAACCTGCTCGTAGTGTGGCTGATGCGGTTTTTTTCAATTTTTTTGCTTAACTTGGGAATCGTGTAATCGGAGATTGTTTCGTTCGTTATTCCGAGATGACAATTTCCAAGTTTCGCGTGGATTTCCTTTGTTCAGAAAGTCCTTAGAATTTTATAAAACAACTTCTCGTGTTTTATAAAACATATTTTTATTTTCCGTCATACCAATTTTGACCCCAACATGTTCCGACCAACTATGTTTCCTATCCAAGAAAGCATATTTCCAGTAAATGGAAATTCCAGCATCCCACAATCACTTAGTATTTGTTTAAACAGTAGAAAATAGCTGTCTGAATGTTGTCTACCTCCCTCTTTCTCATTATGACCAGTTCTTTCATTAAAATCTCCTTTCTTATACCAAGGTCCAGATTTTGTAGTGGAGAAACACGTAAGACGTTCCCAAACTAGATCCCTCCGTTCTACAACAAGCTCACCATAAACAAACGTCATAAAGACTTTTATTCTATCAATAACTGCCTCAACACCAATCATTATATTATTAGATATCAATATATTATTATATATAATAATATTTTATTTCTTTTTATCCATATAAATTCTAAATTTTCCGAATCAGAGCTATTGCTTTTTTTTTTTTGAAACATCACAGCTATTGCTTAATCTCTGAAAATGGATGTTGTAACAAAAAACATACATTACTAAAACTAGTTTAGTTGAGTTTTTTTTGTAGACTTGATATATTTCAGTGAGCTTTTAAATAGATTTTTGTTATGCTCATATTTTTATGTAACTTTGAATCGATCACAATTTAACATGTTTATATTTCTTATTTATTTCACAATACAGCAATGTTAATTTCAAAAAAAAAATATATATATATATATATATATATTTGAACCATAAAATATTGTGAACTAGGAAAGTTATATATAACATAATATAATCAAATGATAATTGTACCAACCAAATATTTATATACACAAAATCACAAAACCAAATATTTTATTCCAAAAAAACTCTCTCGAAGACAAAGGTGACGGCGATGGAGATCTAGGTTTCGATGGTGAAGAAGCGATGGGGTCCAGGTATTGGAAAAGGAAATTGGATAAGAGGCGATCGGGATCGACAGGTGATCGGAAAAGATTTTAACACAAGACTTTCCTCAGATACTCGATTCAGGGAATTGGGAAAGAGAAAGAGATCTGCAGTGGGGTCTAGTTCTTGATTTCTCTTGAGATTGAAAGGAAAACAGACATGTGGGAAATCAAAAGAGATGTGATTACAACTCTTTTCCACTGGGGGATCCGGTAAAAGGGAAGACGAAGATTCAGGATCTCTGGAATTCTATAAGGTTTGAAGTTTTGGTCTGGAATCGGGTCATCATTAAGACCATGGTAAAATCATCGCAAAGTAATCTTCTACTTATTAGAGGATCCTTTTTGGTTTTCTCAGTAGAAACAAGGGAGGATTCGTTATATGGGAGAATCATGAAAGATTGGCAAACACAATTTGTTTGGGGATTAGATTGAATTCGGGGTGCTGGGTATTTATTGAGGATGAAATACATAATATTTATGGCTGTATCGTGTAGAGTTGGGAGGGAAAAAGAAACTCAATATAAAAGGCGAAGGAGGATAATTTGGTGTAGTATTACATTTTGGGTAGCTTTTCGTATCATCTACACAAACAGAGAATCTTCATTTTGCTTTGGTTTGATACGATGCAGAGCCAGCTGAGTGGAAACTCTGGAGAGATGAAGAGTGGTGAAGGCATGCGTAAGAGATTGAAGATCTCGGTGCCTCACTTCGACAACTCAGAGCTTATCAAAACCTTTTCCAAAACCTTGATTGGAAGGTGCATGAATCCGGAGGAACAAGACATGAAGGTGTTAATCATGAACCTTCCAAAGATCTGGCATTTGGAGAATCGTGTGGTGGGTTTGGATTTGGGACTTGGCAAATTTCAATGTCTTCCCGTCTGAGGAAGATATTGATGGAGTTCTCGCCTCACAACCATACCATTTTGATTATTGGATGGGTGCTTTGGCACGGTGGAAACCAAAAAAGGCTCAGACCTTCCCGTCAGAGATTACCTTTTGGGTGAGGGTCCTCAGAGTTTCATCGGAGTTCAGGACGGTGTCAACTTTTGAGAGTATTGGGAACGCAATTGGAAGGACCATTACAGTGGATCTGGAAAACCGTCGTGTACAAATTATTGTTGACGGATACAAGGACCATCCCACAAAATTCCAAAACTTTTAAGATAAACAGAAGTTTTAAGATAATCAGAAGTTACTTTTGTGTTTGAATTCAAGTTTTTGAGTCAATTTTGCCAAATTCTTTATTTTTGAGAATTCAGCTAAAAAAAACACAAACTTTGCACGAATTGTCAAAAGAAACCTGTACTCGACCCTGGCCAGAAAAATACTATACTTTGTTGACTTTTTAATCTTATTAAGAAACTTTTGATTGACTGGCCAATTTGAAACACTGTTAATCCGCAGTTTAGACAGTGTTAAGTTGTCGTTAAATCTTGCTATTAAGTGAAACGGCGTCGTTTTCAAATAAGATGAAACGACGTTTTTACATGATTCAAAAATAAAAATAAAAAGCGTAGACTCTGGATTTGGACCCAGGTTGACTAGGTCAAATGACATGGTATTTTACCACTGGGCTGGTGTTACTTTCGTTGTATTTACTAACATATTTTGTTTTATTGAGTACTGATTGAATATAAAAGATCTCTCAAAAACTTAAAAATACTTTTAAAATTACAAAAAGTTGAAACAATAAAGAATTTTTTATAAAACTAATTTTGAAATTAAAATTAAAAACAAAATTTCCTTTTTTCTTTTTAAAAAATCAAAAATCTTCCAAAATTTTCAAGAAAGTTTAATTTTAAATTAAATTTTAAATAATTTATTTTTTTACTAAATATGAAAAATAAATCGAAAAATTTAAAACAAATCCAAAAATTTAAAAATTAAAATAAAAGGCAAGCAAATTAAATTTACAATTATCAGCTTAAAATTAAAATCGCATTCATAATGGGTACAATAATTATTTAAGCATTTTCATTTTAAATGAAAATTTTGGAAGATTTTGATTTTTTAAAAGAAAAATGAAATTTTAGTTTAAATTTTAATTTCAAAATTAATTTTATAAAAAAAATTCTTTATTTTTCATTTTCTTGTAATTTAAAGGTATTTTTAAGTTTTTTAGAGATTTTTTATTCAATAAGCACTCAATAAAACTAAATATGTTAGCAAATACATTGAAAGTAACTCTATCCTAGTGGTAAATTACCATGTCATTTGACCCAGTTAACCATGGTTCGAAGCTAGGTGTCTATGCCTTTTTATTTTCATTTAACTCGGATGAGAGAATGTTAAAAACCACTATCATTGTCCCTAAGTGCACGAGTTCGAATCTCTGAGAGCATGTTTTCACACCTTATTTTTTAAAATAAAAATATGTAAAACGACGTCGTTTTATCATAACGCCCAAATTTAACGTTGACTTAATGCCTTCAAAAAAATCCGTTAACTCTACTAACGCTCTGTCAAATTGGCCAGTTAATCAAAAGTTTCTTAATAAAATTAAAAGGTCAATAAAAGTATAGTATTTTTTTGGTCAGCCCATATGTATAGATTTCTTTTGGCATTGTGTTTTTTTTTTTCCGAATTCTCAATACTTATCAGTTGCGAAACATATTGGACTTTGTTAAAATGGGCCGATGTATTATTCGGCATATAGAACAATTTCATGGCCATCCCACGGTCCTAACTAAGAAACATTTAGCACAATGATTAAGTGAAACAAATCGTGATCTAACTAAACTGAATTTGAAAACCGAAATGTTACAAAGATCTATAACAAAAAAAAAAATTGTTAGAAAATTTATGACCTTTAATCAGATGGATTATGGTTTTTATTTTAATACCCAAAAGAGGCATGATTTGTGTTTGTTTTCGCAAGTTTGAATTGGTTCACTTATATATGTTTTGGCGGTAAGAAAAGTAGAGATTAACGGGAATTGCATCGGTACTTTCTCTGTATCAGTTCACCGGTAAAAAAAATTCTCATGGGGTGGAGTAACTAAAAACGAATTTTAAGAAAACATAAGTAGACATATGTTTTTGCCCAGCCGTCCGTCATTAACAAGAAAGGTCGTGTATACCCTTACGAGTTTCAGCCGGTTCGGGAAGATGCCAGAGTAAGTAAAGGGTATATCCGTCTAATAATACATACGTAGCCGAGTTTCTTTTTTTCTCCTTATGAAAAAAGTCTTGTTATTTGCATCAGCCAGAAAAAAACTCGCTGCGGTAAAAAAAATAAAAGGAAGAAGCGTCACTGCCTTCCTTCATCCTTGGTTGTTCGCTCGACCTGGCGATGTTGTACCAGGAGACGCTGACGATTGGTGGAATGTAACGTTGTTGCTTCTCGTTTTCGCTACAATCGGAATCATTCGTATTCGCTCTTCACCTCTCTGGGTTTCGTCCTTCAAAACAGTGAAATCGAGATTCATTTTTCTAGCTAGTGCTGGGTAACTAAACCCTAGATTGCACGAGGTTAGTTCTTTTTTTCACTTATCCCCTTTTTTTTAGCTGCCAAATGCAAGCGAGTTTGTGATTTCGATCTTAGGGATTTTGATTCTCAAATCAAGCTTAGTGATAAAATAATAAAAGGGTGCGTTTAAGGATGTGTCTCCGATCCAACTTTCTTTGTGGGGATCTCTCCTTAAGGAAATTCTCCTTGTTCAGGGTTAATTTCAGTATATTGATAGATTATCATCTCCTGTGTATGACGAATAGGTACGGTTAACCCTAGTTTATTTACAGGGAAGCTTGAATATGTCATATGTCTATCCCTTCTCGTTGCTACTCTAAAATTGACTTACTTGTAGTGCATGCTCCAGTTAAGGAGCCTATCTTTTAGTTGACGAGTTGTGTCTCCTTCCACAGGACGAGTTAACATGGACTGGATAAACAAATCTACTCCTTGTTTGGAAAGTTCCAATTTGGCAAACGGTGTTCAAGGAAATGTTCCTCTTCAGCGTCAGGAGAGACTTGTTTGCCATTCTTCGTCAACCGATGTAGATATGGACCTTAGAGAAGTTTATTTCCTTATATTGCATTTTCTCTCTACCGGCCCCTGCGATCGAACCTTTGGGCACCTGAGAGATGAAATTTTGGAAAAAGGGCTTTTGCCCCGTAGGTATCATTCCTTGTGGTCAAGAAGTGGCACTTTCACTGGGCTTCCTGACGATGATGGCATCTCGCTCCCTCTGACTTATGACAACTTGGTTGAGAGGTATGGTTTTCTTCTTTCTTTACTGAGTGAGGAGGCCTTGCCGTACGTTCTCGAAATGTTCTGCTACTTGTCATGTAACATGTGTTTGGTCCTCCCATTACTTCTGTCATCATGTTTCTTTTCCGGACAGGTATCCTCATATTGAAAAGGATCACTTGGTGAAGCTTCTCAAACAACTTATTTTAAACCCACCTTTTCCTTCACACGTGAGAGTCCAAGGAAATACTCCTAATGCTGCTGATGTTCCAACGCTATTAGGATCGGGCGCCTTTTCACTTGTGGATCGTAAGTACTTACTCCTATCCTTCTATGTTTGGAAAGCAGTATATGTTCTTTTACTTTTGCATGCCATTCGGTTGATTTGATTCCGACCTCACACTGTTTATTGGATCGATGGCCTTAAGAGCAACATGTCCCTTGTGTCTTTGGATTTGGAACTTGGAAAGAATTCCATAAGACCTAGTAGTGGCTTTAGGGTGTACATATGATAACTTTTTTCTTCTGGTTTTAGTAGTCTATCCTAGGTAACATGACTTATGTTAGGATTTTTTTTTCGAAGTAGCTCATGTAGGAGAGACTAAGTTTCCCGTCAGGGATGTTTAACTTGGAAAGTCTCTTTAACCTCACCAGTTCTTACACTAGGCCATTGATTTTTAATCATTACTCTTTTCTCTGAAGATAAAATTATGGAGTCTCAGAAAGTTAGGCATGTTGCATCATACTTACGCTGGCCGCATATGCATGCTGATCAAGTGCGTGGCCTGAGTCTTAGAGAAATTGGAGGAGGTTTCAGAAAACACCACCGTGCTCCTTCCATTATTTCAGCTTGTCATGCTATTGCAAAACCATCAACAATGGTTCAAAAGATGCAAAATATAAAGAAGCTCAGAGGACATCGTAATGCTGTTTACTGCGGTATGATCTACATTTTACATCTCTTGTGTTGGATCTCTGGTCTGTCGGAATTACATACATACTTTGTTTTGTTACATGTGCAACCTTGAAATTTATACCAATTTGATTATAGTATCTGGAAGTCACAATGCAGTATGTCCATCATAGGAGCACCATTTGTTGTCACAGAATGTTTTTGTTGGGTAGAACGGTAACACTTTGGCTTTTTCTCTTTCTTGTTGTATAGCTATATTTGATCGTTCTGGAAGATATGTTATCACTGGTTCCGATGACCGGCTTGTGAAAATTTGGTCAATGGAAACTGCGCTTTGCTTGGCGAGCTGCCGCGGGCATGAAGTGAGCTATTGAATTCCATTGTAGTAATGCATGTATTGTTGAGCAGTCTATAAAAAATTGTTCTCGCCTATACATGTTTTCTGTAGGGTGACATTACAGACTTGGCCGTTAGTTCAAACAATGCTTTGGTAGCATCAGCTTCAAACGATTTTGTGATTCGAGTGGTAAGAATATTATTTTTCAAGTCTTTTAATGATTACACAGTTATAAATGATTTGTCAGTTTGGTATTATTGAATTTCTTGACAGTGGAGGTTGCCTGATGGAATGCCAATTTCTGTATTGCGGGGACATACTGGAGCTGTTACTGCAATTGCATTTAGTCCCAGACAGGCGTCTGTTTACCAACTTTTATCGTGAGTTTTGTTCAATATATTAAATTTCAACAAGTTCCGTTCGAACTTGTTTTTGTCTGTTCAAGACCGCCCCCGGATATCTAGTTTGGAGTCATCTATTCTTTTTTTTTTAATCTCTGTAGGTCATCAGATGATGGAACCTGTCGAATCTGGGATGCTAGGTACTCTCAATGGCTTCCTAGAATCTATGTTCCATGTCCGTCGGATTCTGGCACTGGTAAGGAGGTGGCACATCATTATATTTTGTTCAGTAACTTGTGTAAAAGTATGTTCGATTATAAAACTCATTGGAAATTTATCTTAGGAAAAAGCGATTTTACATCTTCTAACGCGGCATCTACAAGCAATGCATCCCAGAATCTTCAAATACTATGCTGTGCGTACAATGCTAATGGAACCATATTCGTCACGGGTAGCTCTGACAGCAATGCGAGGGTATGTGTTAAACTTCTAACTTTAATTATCCTCTAGTTATACAGAAACTGGGTAGGTGATATTAGGTTTTAGTTTGCTTGTTAGTCTTGATTGTCAGTATTTCCATAATCTTGCAGGTTTGGAGTGCCTCAAAACCTAACTTGGAGGATGCTGAACAGCCGACTCATGAGCTGGATGTTCTACGTGGCCATGAGAATGATGTCAACTATGTGCAGTTTAGGTATTTCTGAGCGAACATGATGCCTTCCTTAGATTACGCATTTTGGTGGTTAGAAAACATGGAAAAACCCTAACATGGTGTTTTCTATTTAGTGGTTGTGCTGTGGCTCCAAGATCTTCAACAACTGAAACTCTGAAGGAAGATAATTACCCAAAGTTTAAGAATTCCTGGTTTGTTTCTCATTTTGTGTTGGACTTATAGTCATTGCACTTTCTTCCTTCTATTCTTACTTTGGATATGGTTAAGGTTTAATACGTTTGACTAACCAGGTTTTGTCATGACAACATCGTAACGTGCTCTCGTGATGGTAGTGCAATTATATGGACACCAAGATCACGTAAATTCCATGTAAGTTTATTTATTCAACCCCGGAGTGCAACGGTGCTTCACAAGTTCATGACAGAAACTTATGATTTTATCATCAGTTTCCACAACCTTCTAGATGTTTATTTTCAGGGGAAATCTGGACGCTGGGTGAAAGGATATCATTTGAAGGTTCCACCTCCCCCACTTCCGCCACAACCTCCTCGAGGAGGGCCACGTCAGAGGTTTCTTCCAACACCACGGGGTGTCAATATGATTGTATGGAGCCTGGATAATCGTTTCGTACTTGCCGCTATCATGGGTAAGTATCACTGGGGAATTATTGTGATGCATGGATTTTCAGTTTTTGATGAATTTTTCTCAGTCTCATTTTGTTTCAGTCTTGATTAGTCAAATTCATAGCACTTAAAAGCGGTGTTTTTTTGCCACATGTTTGTGTTACGTGAACTAACTACGTCTGGTGTTTCCGTTAACGTGTCGGTGTTTGTTCAGATTGCAGGATTTGTGTTTGGAATGCTGCTGATGGTAGCTTAGTGCATTGCTTAACAGGTCACAGTGAATCGGTAATAGTCACATATATTTCAACTCCTTATCCTGAGATCTTAGTTGGGGCTAGATGCATGTTAGTTTTTATAATAAAAAAAAATTGTATGCTTCATTGTGGCTCTCATTTGATGTCGAACTTCTCCGAATGTCCATTATTTCTATTGCGTTTATCTTCAAGTTTTCAGTTCACCCCCAAACTTGCTTTGGGAAGTACTAATATCGTATATGATCTGTCTCACTTATGTCCTTTTGGTAGTCCTATGTCTTGGATGTCCACCCTTTCAATCCACGGATTGCTATGAGCGCCGGCTATGATGGGAAAACAATCATCTGGGATGTGAGTTTCGTTGTTTTTCTTTGCAAAGAATAGTCCTTGTTCTTATTAGTAGCATCACTTACCTCCTTCGATATTCTTTTCTAGATATGGGAGGGTATACCAATCAAAGTATACGATATCGGGCGGTTTAAGCTAGTTGATGGAAAGTTTTCACAGTAAGTGACTGATGAAACATGCAGGATAAGATCTTCAATATTTTCTGTTTGAATTCGGGGATTTCAGATGACTTAAGTAACACATGCATTCGACTCTTGAGTCTGAAACTAGAGGAAACAGTCATGTTATACATTTCCAGTGAGATATACAATATTCATATTTATTTTACCAAGACATCTGGTGGTAAATCATTTATTTAGTCGAGTGAAGTGTATGGAATCATTTACTTATGGTGTTTTTGTCCTTGGCACTGTGTAGAGATGGAACATCTATTGTGCTTTCAGATGAAGTTGGCCAGATATATTTTCTAAACACGGGACAAGGGGAGTCTCAAAAAGCTGCTAAATACGACCAGGTTGGCGTATTTTGCGTCCCAAGTGCATAATCATTTTGTTTTATAAATTATATGGCTACAGTTTCTAGTGATCCTCTACTACTTTCTGATCCTTTGTCTTGTTTTGTGTAAGTTCTTCCTTGGTGATTACCGTCCTCTTATTCGAGATACCAATGGACATGTTCTTGATCAGGTTGGTTTCAATACTTGTATCTCCTCTTTTGTTTCAAGTTATTTTTGCGTTCTTTTAAGAGGGTTCACCGAACCATGCACACTTTTATGCATTTTTCGAATTAAAAAGGCGGAGATGTATGAATGATATCCTTGCAGTTTCATTGTCGACTAAATTGAAAGCTACAATTTCCATGGTGCAGGAGACTCAACTTCTTCCCCATCGGAGGAACCTTCAAGATCTTCTTTGTGATTCAAGTTTGTATCCAAAAGCTTATAGTGATGTCAGTTATGCAAGATATTGGCTATTCATGAAACATATTCTTGGTTTTAAAATTTTCAGGTATGATTCCGTATCCAGAACCTGACCAGACATTGTTTCAGCAACGCAGACTGGGTGCATTAGGAGTGGAATGGCGTCCTTCGTCGATAAAGCTTTCTGTTGGCCCTGATTTTAGTCTAGGTCAAGATTATATTATGCCTCCTATGGCAGATCTGGATAGATTGATCGAGCCACTGCCTGAGTTTATAGATGCTATGTTCTGGGAACCAGAACATGAAGTTCTGAGTGATGACAATGATTCGGAGTACAATGCCGAAGTTTCCTCTGATGGAGCTAGGGCAAGCCTATGTTCCAACTCGTCAAATGAACTTGAGTGCAGTTCCGAGGACAGTGACGTTGAAAATATTTACGAAAATTTCTATCATCGGAAAAGAAGAAGACAGCATCCTAGAGTACGTTCTGTTCGACTTATGCGATTTTGTTTTTCGTTATCTATTCATTAACTCCCGTTTTCTCAGGCTGATGTGGCTACGTCATCTGGAAGGCGTGATAAGAGGATTTTGGATGAGATTGATAGCTCGAAATTTGGAAATAAGAGAACCAAGAACCGAAGAATTGGTGTGAAGGCTTCAAAAAGAAGATGTTCTGATGTCAAGGAATCACGACCGCAAAGAGCAGCCGCCCAAAATGCTCGATCCTTGCTTTCAAAAATTTCTGGAAGCTCTTCGGATGAAGTTGATGATTCATCCAGTAGTGACTCTGATAGAAGCGCATCACCTTTGCAACAGTTGGAAAAGCCGTCACAGAAGCTGGAATCTCTTTCAAATGACAAACAAAAGAAAAGATTGATTGTAAAGATCTCGGTTAAGAAGCCAGCAGAGTCCGTGGTTAGCAAGAGAGATGTAATAAATCAAGCTGATTTAGAGCACGTTTCTTCGAAATCTTTGGAGGAGAATCAGAAAGTAATTGGTATATACTCTAGAGAATCTGGGTCAAGTTCTGTAGATGCAAAAGGTGCGTCATGGTATCAGGATATGCCACCTTCTATGAATACACCACAGAGAGAAAAGGCCAATAATCAGTTGATAAAATCTTTAGATCAGGACCAGAATATGTGCAACTGGAGGGAAGAGATTCCTCTTTGTGAATCCACCGAATTAAATGCGTCTGAGAACATTGAAGAAGCCCAAGCATTTAATGAGTAAGGGAAATCTGGTTATAATTACCAAGAAACTTATGCTCATATTAAATTTCCACAATATCTAATTCATTGTATTCTCTTATAGGGATGAGGATTTGTCAAGAGTTGAGCCATTGTCTGCTCAGCTAAGACATTCGGATATAGATACTTCCTTGGAAGCTGAGGAGATTATTCCAAAGAAAGTTCGACGACTGAGATTAAAGCTTCGGCACCCCAGCAGTCCTTTAAAACTAGAGCCTGATGAGGTAGCAGATGATTTCGCAGATGGTGGAGAAGGTTGTGCATCCATAGCTCCCTTTTCCATGAATCCTATTATGGATTCTGAACCTGTGATAGATAATGTTAGATACTCTCCTGCACATGAAGTTGAGTTTGGAGAAGCTACAGCCGATGTGATACGTAGAAAGAGATCCATGAGACTGAAGGCCACTTCAAGTCAATCTAGTGCAAGAAATAGTGTATTACGCTTGAGGTCAGGCTCTGGATCTGTAGATAAAGTAAAGAAACAAGGAAATCCTTCCGCAAGCGTGTATGATGGTGCATCACTTGAAGAATGGCCTTCTACTTCAAGAGCTGGGTCTCGGTCTGCAAGCGCTAATGCCAGCAAACAAAGTCTGAATAGTGGGATAAGGTTGAATAACGTGTCAAGGAAAATCTCATGGTTGATGTTGTCAGAACACGAGGAAGGCTGCCGTTATATACCGCAGCTAGGGGATGAAGTTGTTTACTTGAAGCAGGTAGGTCCTTTTCTTTTGGCTGGTAGTTCCATGTATTAATTTTTATAGATGTGGAATAAATCAACTTTCTCTGGTTGTCGTTTTTCAGGGTCATCAAGAATTCCTAAAAACTAGAGAATTAGATGACAGGGACCGATCAAGATACCTTCCTCGAAACCTAGGAGCGGTAGAGTTTTGTAAAGTCGAAAAACTCAACTACGATACATATCCTGGTTCTGGCGAGAGCTGCTGCAAAATGACTCTCAGCGTTCTGGATTCTTCTTCATCTCATGCCTCCCGCAAAGAGTTCCAACTAACACTGCCTGACCTCGTTAATTTCCCGGATTTTATTGTGGAGAAGACTCGATACGATGCTGCAATTAAGACAAACTGGGAAATAGGTGATGAATGCCGTGTGTGGTGGAGAAACGAATCCGGTGAAGGAGGTGCTTGGTGGGAAGGGAGGATTGAGTCATCACAAGTTAAGTCTAATGAGTTCCCAAGCAGTCCGTGGGAGAGATACGGAGTTGTCTATGAAAATGGGGAGACGAGTCTTCACAGTCCCTGGGAGTTTGAAAATCCGCAGTTACCTTGGGAAAATTCTACAATGGACGAAGAGCCAAGAGATAAATTACTTTCTTTATTTGCTGGACTAGTGAAGTCAGTCAGCAAGCATCAGGTTTTGTCTTCTTTCCCAGCCCTTTCGCATCTTTCTTTTTTACCTTTTTGCGTGCCACTTAACCGTTGCTTGTTTCTGTTACTATAATATTTTTCAGGATAGTTATGGAATCCAAAAGCTAAACGAAGCTGCTCAAAAGATGGATTTCTGCAATAGGTATGCTTGGCTGTCTGTGCAATTTTACTCTTACGATAATCTCCCCCATAAATTGAACCCATCTGGTATAGTTGAGTGAATGCTAGTTTTGGTAGTAAACTCATATCATCAAACCTGTGGATATTTTTATGTATGTAGTAGCTGTATGATTCCACTCAGCTTCGTTACACTTGAAAAATTGTACAGGTTCCCAGTGCCTTTATACCCAGAGCTGATTCACCAGAGAGTAGAGAATCAGTACTACAGAAGTATGGGGTCGTTTAAGCACGACGTGGATGCAATGCTGTCAAACGCTGAATCTTATTTTGGTACAAACCCACATATGCGTTCTAAGATAAAGCGACTCCGAGATAAAATCACAAAAACGTTAAGAAAAGTTTCACAAAGTTGATGATATGATATGTTTTGTTTTCTAAACTCCCTAGGCGGTGGCCATTTTTTTCTATGAGGATATTTATATAGCGAAGAAAATGCAAGAGTTTTCACTTTAGTAAACAAAAGAAAGGTCGGTTTTCTTTGGGTGAGTGGCACAAGGTTCATGTTATAGATGGGGTCGCTTTAGTTCCACGAGACTAACATGTATGTAGTATAAAAATGTACTCTTTTGTTACAGGAGTGACATAAGGAGTCTGGTTTTATTTTCAGCCCATTACAAGTACGAATATATCACTTACAAGCTACATTGTTTTCTTTTCCTGCTAACTAAGCAGATTCTTTTAAAAAGTAAACAAATATGCCCCTATATACATAATAACTCCAAATTCACTATCTAACTTTTTTTTTCATTCATTCAAAAAAAAAAACATTTTTTTTTCATTTCCCTTCCTGTCTTTCCCTAACATTTCAATAAAAAAATAGTTATCCTTTTTGGGTTATTTTACAAATAGTCTTTTAAAAGTACTGAATACTTGTAAATATGAAAATCGTAACATAATAAAATAAAATAAAATGTGAACACAAAAAATAACAAAATGTTGTTAAACAGGCGGAAACTATAAAAGAATAAAAAAGTTAGATTATATCATGTTTGTAGTGGAGACTCAACAAAAACTAAGTGAGATTCAGCCTTCACAAATCCATTTATGAGTGGTATCATAACTCTCTATCTATATATAATAGCAAACTGAAAGTGACATCAGCATTTTTTTATAGGAAAAAAAAATTCAATCCAATGGTCATAATTAACTTGATTTTAAGATCTAATGAACCAAAAAAAAACATTTTCATATGATTGATGATGTCATCAAATATTTGACAACTCTTCATTGAAAAGGCATATATTTCATTTTAATAGCCACAATCATATTTGTCTTACTTTTTCATAAGTTTAAATATTAATATTGACTTTTTAGAAGATAATATTTATATGTGTCGTGACCGAAGAGGTATGAACGTATCGTGATTCAAGA